ATTATATTATACAATACATATACATTATATATATATGTATATATTATAAAGAATATACAGTATATACACTTTATATAATATATACAAACAATTATATACATAAACATTAATATACATATATATCAGTATGAGTAATACATATAATATAATATATATAATATACATAATAATAAATAATCTATATAATACACATATATATACATACAGCAAACATAATGCATATATATACGGTGTATATATATATATAAAGTATATATGTATATATCATATATATAATGTAAATACTATATGTATAATAAATATTTATATATATATACAATATAATATATATAATATAATATAATATATCATAATAATATAAAGAAGAAGAAAATAAGTAAGAAAGAGAGAGATGCGGGTATATATATAATAAATAGATAGTAGAAGAATAATATATTGATAAACAGCATTTAATTCACAGATTAATAAATAATTAATTTAAATTAATTAATTAACGAATCATTAATAATTAATTTAATCTAATTATTAATTAATTAATAAGGTGTTGAACGAGAAGGAGGATGCAGCCGACCCCCAGCCCTATCTAATCCTTCGCCAGGGCTTTGGGTGTATCCGTAGCTTCCTCCTCCTCCGTAAGCAGCAGCCATCTCTGCAAATAAATAAATTAAATAAATAAATAAATAAATAAATAAATAGATAGATAAATAAATAAATAGTTAATTAATTAATTAATTAATTAATAAGTAAATATATTAATTGATTAATAGAATCTTAAAAAATAAAAAATTAATTAGTAGATAAATAGAAATAACTAATGTTTATAAATGTAAATAAATAAATACAGTTAATTAATATAAACAAACATAAACAGATAAACATCATTAATAAATATAAGTAAATATAAATAAATAAGCATCATTAATAAATATAAATATAAAAAATTAGATAAAATTAATATAAATAAACATAAAAAGATAGACATCATTAATAAATATAAATAAATATAAATAATTAAATAACATTAATTAATAACTTACGAGCATAATAGGCAGCGTAGTAAGGATGGTAAGCGTAGTTATAACCCCCGTACATCTGAGGGCCTCCAGCACCACCATATCCTAAAAATAAACAAAGACAATTAATTAATTAATTAATTAATTAATTAATTAATTAACTTAAATAAATATATATAAAGATATAAATAAATCAATAAGTAAACTCAAATAAATATATATTTATTTATATATTTATTTATATATTTATTTATATGCATGTATATGTATATCCTCCTAATTTATAAATTAGCAGATTAAATAAATAGAAATAAAAACGAAGATAAAGACAAATCAAAATTATATAATTAATAAACAAAAACATACAAACAAATACACAAAAAAACAAATAAATAAAACAAACAGAGCGAAGCAATAAGATAAATAAAAAATAAACAGAAGAAATAATAAAATATAATTAATTAAATATAATTAACTGATTAAATATAATTAAATATAATAAATATAATAAATTAAACAAGCCTGATCTTAGCAACACCAAGCAAACAAAACACAAAAAAAATCAAACAAACGGCGAACCACCCAAATATCCAAACGAACAAAACAAAAACTAATTAATTAAATATAACTAATTAATTAAATATAATTAATTAATTAATTAAATATAATTAATTAATTAATTAGACATACCTGATCTTGCGACAGCAAACCTCGGGTCTTCATATCTGTAGGGGCCGCTCATAGGATACCCTCCAACACCAAACATGCGCATGCGTGATGTTTGGCTGCGAGGCTGAGCTCTCTTTGCCTCTGCCTATTAAATAAATAAATAAATAAATAAATAAATAAATAAATAAATAATAAATAATTAATTAATTAATACAGAGCTCGTTTATTCAATTAAAATTATATTTGTTTCGTTAGTACACTGCATTTAGTTTTAAAATAACAAAGACAGGACGTCAGCTGTTCCGATTATTAAATCAAATTAAATAAATAAAATAAATAAATAGATAATAATTAATTAATTAATTAATTAATTAATTAATTAAGTATAATTAAAGAGAAAGTAAACAGCTATTTAATTTAATAAGAATTATATTAGATTTATTACTCTGCTTCATATATGTATATATATTGTATATATGCATACACATGCCTTTCAATAGTTTTCAGGGTTTAGGGTTTTCTAGGGTTTAGGGTTTTCTAGGGTTTAGGGTTTAGGGTTTAGGGTTTACGTTGGGGCCCAGGTCCTTATGAATGCCGAGAGCCTTCTCCGCATCTTCAGGGTTTTTATAGATGATAAACCCAAAGCCTAAACCACAAACCCTAAACCCTAAACCCTAAACCCTAAACCCTAAATCCCAAACCCCTAAACCCTAAACCCTAAACCCTAAACAAAAAACCCTCTACACAAAGCACTAAACCATACTAAACCCCAAGTGCCCTAAACCCTAAACCCTCTAGCCCCAACACGCCAAACCCTA